TGATGAACAACTCTACAGAGTTTAGAAGAGTGGAAAGAAGAACTTAAAAGGTACAAAAGTCAGAGAATTCCCAATGCAGTTGAAGGATAAATGTCACTCTGAAAGAAACTACATAATACAGTGTGGAAAGAAAGGAAGGGGAAAAAGGGGGGAAAGACTGCAATTAAAAGGACAAAAAGAAAAAAGAAAGGAACAGCGAGTGCCTTTATAAACTATAGCAGTAGATACTGTAGAAGTGGATTGACTAGAGGGGGGTTTCTTTTTTGTGGTAACAGTGCCAAGGCCAGGTGTGCGTGCTTGGGACAGGCTTTAGGAATGGTTGGACCTACTGTGCTAGTTGCTGTGGGTGTGTGGAGGTTGCGAAGTCCTGAAGATTTGGAGGATCTTTGGATCTTTAGAGAGCAGGAAATTGCAGCAGTGGAAGTTTGTGGCAGCTGCAAGAGTTGGTGGGGAGGGATCCTCTGCGGGGCGCCTTTGGGGGGCCAGGGGAGAAGACCAGTATTAGATTTGGGCCTGTATCGGGCTATGTGGCTGCATGGAGTGCAGAATGAAGGGAGTGCTTTACAATTAAAGTCTCTTTCTGCCGATCTGACTTTTGGGCAGCTCATGTATGCTACGTGCCTATAATCTTGTTTCTTTTGTCTCAGTATAACAGACACAATGTGTTACCTCTCTCATTGCTTAAATCCATGAATTAAAAATCATGTACCTGAAAATATAAGCTCAGCTTAATTTCTTCCTTGCCATACAAGATATACTTAAAATGCCAGTTCCTTATGTGTGTCTGTTTCTAAGTCCCTAAGTTCCTCTGTTTGGTTTCAGCCACATGGCCAAAAGGCTGCCAGCAGTATGTCTGGAATGTTATTTACTCGATACATTCTGGGCCATTTCTTTGTAGCGCTGCGTAGACCACAGTTAGGGGTAATTTACTTAAAAGTATCCAAAGCAGTACCCCAAGTTGTATAGTTATTCCTCTCAGTGGGGGTTTTGTAATAAAAGGGAGTGTCTCATTAGGTGTTTTAGCTTCTGTACTTTTTTCCTCTTGTTACCTTTTTTTTATTCTTCATAATTTGACTTGGTAGAAGCTGGGGGAGGTGCTGTTTATTCTTGCTGTTTGTTTTCTGTGATTCTGTTCTTTTGTTAATGCTTCAATGTCTTGTGGGGTCTTTTGTGATAGTAGTTCTTTTAACTGAATCTGACCTTTTCTGATTTTTTTGGGGGGGGGGAGTTGATGCATGTGTTTCTTGGTTACTAGGTGTGTGTGTTTTCAGCGAGTTGAAACGATAGTTTTTCAAACATGGCTGTGCAAGCAGATTCAGAGAGAGAAACTTGTTTAAGGAGAAGTGTGGGTGTTCATACATTTTTGAGGAAAGGGTTGGGTTAGATAATAAAGGTTTTTTAGAACATGTATTATTACATCTTGGAAATATCTTAAGAACTTATTTTAGGCAGATGGCAAGAAGTCATCTATACAGATTTGGGGCTTGTGGTTATATGATCCATATTTTGCACTGTGTTGAACTATATGGTTCTTGTTTTATGGTTTTTGACATGTTACATCAATTTTGAGGAAGTGCAGGACAGTCCTGTGGAACCTCGCTATATAAAGAAAAGGCAATGTAGCCCATTTCTTCAACATTTCTGGTTTCATGTTATCACATGATGCCACCTGTTAACAGATATAATACTGTCCTATGTTATAGGCAGTTCCTTTGTTTTAGAAGTCATAAAATCTAAGACCTATGACCTCCAACTTAGATGTGCTCAGCTATAGTTAGGAAGCTGGTTGTTACATTATGGGATTGATCTATTCTGCACAGACAAGAAGCTGAGAAGAATTTTGGATGGAAATTAATTTAAAGAAGCTCAGGATGAAATATAGGTGGATGATAATGATTTATATTTCCTGGTGAGATAGGTTTACATTCAAATCCAGTCTCCCCGAAACAAATAAATCACATTTTGTTTCAGATTTCTCTTTCACCTGTTCTCCACATCTAAAACTGTTTCCAAGACAACAGAATTTTGCTTTCCCATTTCCTAGAAAGCTTGTCAAAAATGTATTTTTAACTGAATGTATAGATATTCTTGCTCTCTAAAATTTAACAAAAATGTACATCTTTGCAGGTTACTGTCCTCATCTGCAAAAGATACAATAAGTTACTGGAGCTAGAATTGATTAAAATTAATTTACATAAACTAAGTGTCATTATGCTTTGAACTATTGCTACATAACACAAATTGTCTGGAACCCTGAGACTTCTTCAGGGAAGAGCCTATCTGTCTTTAAGCCTACCCTTTGCTGAAAGGATATGAACTAAATTAAGGTCAGACCTCACCTTATGAAATAATTTGGCTCAACTTTCCCAACAGGCTACATACCAGATGTTGGATTTCAGCAATTTAACCTCCCGCTGTTTTGCTGCAGGCTTGGCTCATTTCCAATACTGATATTCAGTTTAAAGAATTAGCACTTAACTAAACCTAGTCTTGTACTGAAAGTTTTGTGCTCTGGTTACATGGTCAAACATTGTTTCTAGGTACCACAAAATACATCCTGCAAGTAACTACTCTGCCAGATTAGTAATGTAATCAAATAGGCTAGAACCAGACATTTTTTATGCATGCTGTATGCTTTAATTATGGAAGCTATGGGAGAAGGAACTTCAAATTGACAGATTGAAAAAGCTGGTGGCCAAAGGAAGCAGAGATCAGTGCTGTGGAATGAGCAAGCTTTCAAACCTGAAAGAGTCCTGCTGAGAGATGACTAGACCTTGTGTGTGAAGATGGCAGTAAACTTTACTGTTAAGTAGTGGCGAAAACTTTAAGCAGAGAGCAGAATCTGACCAGGAGGAACTTCATCAAGTAGTACTAGAAGCTAGAAGTAGCTGGAGGAATTTAAGACTGAGGGAGATTGCTATATAGCGTCTGTATCTGGTTGGCTGGGAAAATTTGATCTATGATATTGATTTAGCTGGGGAAGAATTTTCAGGAAACCATAACTACACTTAAGCATGGATTTATATGTCCAAGATGAATAAAAAATTAAGTTTATTAGTGCAATTACTTACATGATGAAAATGGAATTGTTGCTTTTCATACGGAATGTTGAGATTGCTAAATTCTGTTCTTAAAATGAATCTTGTTTCTTAAACAATGTGGCAGAGAATGTTATAGTCCTCTTTTTTTGTGAATGATTGTTACAGCATGAGCTTTAAAACATTGTTTCGACAATATTTGGAAATAATACTAGATATGGATGCTACTTTAAAAATGCTGTACTTTTCTTTTCTTTTTTTTTTGGCAAACTTATTTGTCTTTTCTGAATTTTGATTCTACAGTATATTATACAGTCCAGTTGTATTACATGCATGTATTATGTATGTATGTAATACATGTATTAGATGCAGTACTACATCAAGGAAAGGAAAGGAAGTTAATGTTCTTTAGTGCTAAAATACGTCATTAGTAGGATTAAAAGAACCCTTAGTCTAATGTGTAAAACTGGATGTGAGAAAAGTCTGCAGTTCATACTTCATTCTCACTTTAATCAATAATGCTGTCTTGTACTAGATGTGAGAAAATGGCAAATAAGTGATTATTTAAGAAAATTTTATGTTGTTCAGGAAACTATTGAAGACTTGGTTGTTCACCCAGACCTTTTGGATAGGATGATTGTGGAACCCACTTTTTTTTTTTTATCTTAGTTTGATTACTTTTTTCTTCCGATCTGTTATATCTTTTAAGTGTGTGTGTGTGTGTGTGTGTGTGTCTCAAGTGAAAACTTTGGATTGATTTGTTCCTGTGATCTCTTTGTTCGTTTTCTTGGCTATCCATAGTATTCTAAGGCCGGTTGTTGTCTCTGTTGTCATGAGTTTGGTTTTCTTACATTTAATCTTAGTCCCATTTTTTGATTGTGCTCCTTCACTTTCATTACTAGACCTTGCAGATTACTTACATTTTCAGCTATCTGAGAGTGTCATTAGCATGGTGCAGTTAATTGATGTTTTAAAACCACGCTCAGCCTCTTCCAATCCAGCCTCTCCCAATATATATTCCGCATACAGTTTGAATAAATAAGAGGAGAGTATACAGCCTTACCTCACTCTTTTGCCAACCTGGAGCCAGTCTGTTTCACCATGTTCCATCTAGACTATGGCTTCCTGGGATGTTCTGGGATTCCCATTGTCCTAAAGACGTTTTATCTCTAGTACTACTAAACTAGTAAACTTCATAGATATTTGTGTTATAAACTTTCACCAAAGATTTCACATTAGTAGCTATTTCTACAGTTCTCATCACATATGGATACTCAGAGTCTTTTCCTGAAAACACATCATAGACTGTCCAATCCAAAGACACCTTTGGATTGCTTATAGAGATAGTCCTATGGAATTAATACCAAGGAGAAGATACAACTTGAATAGGAAGCTTATTGCTCAAGTGACAGTTTCTCATCACATCTCATTCCTACACAGACAGTCAGCTTAAAAGTATATTTATTGATAAAGAATATGTAGATTATAAAATACTGGTTATTAGGGGCTTACTTTGCTCTTATTTTTTTGTTCTCTGAGCTTACAGTTTTCAGCCTTTTTTACTAGGTGCACTTTTTTGGCTTTTTTCTTCTATGGTTGCTTTGATCATTTAGTTAAAGATGCCTATGGACTACATTCACGCCTAGCCTTTGTTTAAGGATAAACGCTTCCATTGAAATAAATCAGCCTTGTAATTTGAAAAATATAAAATGTTGGTTTTGGTTACTTATTACAGGTAATAGCCATTTGATGTTTGAATATGAAACAAATGCTTGGCAGAATATTTAGTTGGAATTCCAGCCAGAAAATAATAGAGTGCAACCTAATTCTTAAAAGTGTCTGAGCTATAAACTAACTGTCATGACATAGCATGTAATAACAGGCTGACAAGGCTAATAAAGTTCGCACGTTACTGTAAATACACCTCCGTAATGTATTTTGTCCTTCATTCATATCTTTCAGCCCACATATCATCTTCCTGTCACAAAGCACATTATCTGGAGAGAGCAACCTCTGTGGAACACGACTGTGCCATGAAATTGCTCACGCTTGGTTTGGTTTGGCCATCGGGGCACGTGACTGGACAGAAGAATGGCTTAGTGAAGGATTTGCTACTCACCTAGAGGACGCAATTTGGTCAGCAGCACAAAAGGTACAGTTAGAATAGTCTATAATGAAAAAATGAGGAGAACCATTAGCTTATGCAATAACAGCATAATATATATAGGGTTATATATAACTCTAAAGGATTTATTTTGCTGGATTAGACCACACAAAATACCTATTTAAGTTTATTACCGATGACACATCTAGACTACATAAAAGTAAATACATATTTAATGCAACATAAAATATAGCATGCACAGTAAAAAGGCCTGTAATCACGCTTAGTCTTCTTGCTGCCTGAATTTTACAAGATACAAATACAAACTTTGTGTCAGCAAGTGTTATCTTGGGATCTTTATCTGCCAAAAAAGCTGCATGTAGAATTCTTTTGCCAAAACGGATTAAGAAAAGCTGTTAGCAGCTGATTGCAAATGTCTTGGTAGACATTACAGTGAAGCACAATGTGATCCTGTGACTCAGTACTCTCATCTTTACAAGAGCAAAGCCTTTCAGCAGACCAGATTTTGCAGTATTTACCCTGCAACACTGCTGACCGTAAGATATTAAACCGCAAAAGTGTGAAGGCCTCCAAAATGTATTCTTTGTATGTTGGTTTAAATATAATTTATTTTAAATATAATTTATTTTAAACCAAATATAATGCTGGTTTAAAATAAAATTTAATTTGACCCAATTGAGCTCTGAGGTACATCAGAGCTTGCTATATTCTGTTTTTAATTCTTTATTGAGAATCCTTGAGAATTGTCATTGCCTGATCTTGTCCCAGGGCCATCAGCGTCTCACTTCAAAATCCCAATTTTTGTAATTTTTTAAAAATTTGGTGTTTTCAAGAGGAAGACTATTTGTCTATCAGGATAAGATGCATCAGACTTTGAGGTTGAAAATGAGCTTTTAACCAATATCTGAGCACACATGCAGTGCCCTTGTTTCAATTTTTATAAGCTCTGCCTCCAAAACTAGAGCAATGATGGCATACCTGGAATAACTTCCTTAGGAAGCTAGTTTGAGCCCTCTCTAGGTTATCATAGTTAATGTCTGGATTTAACTGAGCTCCATGTAAGAGCTGTGCAATGATCCTGGCTTCAAAAAGTTTTAGAGCTGCTGGGTACCTTGAGAGAACAAGAAAGGATTGCTGCTTAACTCCTCTAAGCATTCAGAGCAACCTGGGTGATATGAGTGTATCTCCTTCCTGAGTAATGTAGCATGAAACCCAAGTATTTAAAATGAGGGACTTCTTCTATTTTATGTCCTTCAAGGATCCAACAGAATTTTTTGAAGACCCTTGCAAAACATATTACCTTATCTTCTCATACAGTAGTCACAAAATATCCATTTAGCAGAAGGTAAATTGGTGAGGATGATATTTTCCAGGTCTTCTGTTCCCCAGGACCCTAACCATATTGAAGTTACTTCTATCTTTTTTTTTTGCTGGGCAAATGAGTACAGTTGCAAAAAAAAACTTCCCTAAAACATTAACCTGAAACTTCTAAGAAGAAGAAGTTTCTAACTTCTAAGAATGCATACAGAGCCTATACGTGGATTGTTGCATTGCTTTGTAGCATTTCATGTCCCCATTTAAATTTTTCAAAAAATATAAGAATCTTAAAACTTTTCTAAAAACAAATGAGGTGGGAAGCATTGTCATTGCCAAGAGAGATGTGCAATACTCTTAATGTCCTTGAGCATCATGTGGAGACCCCAGCATTTAAACTATGAACTGTAGCATAACAAACTGGATTGTTCACCCCCATTTCTTTTTGTGCTAGTGGGTCAACAGATAAAATGCCTGAACCCAAAATTATAGTTGATTGCACTCAAGCCAAAATCATTAGGCATCTTTGAACTGGGTTTGTTATTGGCTTCGGAATTATCGTACAATAAACCTTGACTCCTGATTCAGATGTTTCATGAAACTTCTTTTCTTATTTGATTTTCTACTTGATGAAGAAGCAAATGTACAGCTGGAATGTTCAGATCACCTATTGCTCACCAACTTTCTAGTTAATTAGAACAAAATATATGACTTAAGTTATTTATGTCATCACACTCCAGTAAATGCAAGTTTCCTGGCTCTAACTGTTGGGAAGGGGTGGGGAATGTTATCTGTTTGTAAGTATCCTAGCTAATAGCTGTCCTAAATTCCATGTAGTTATATGTTTTATCACAAGGTCAGGTTTGTTTAACTTCCATCAGTGGGAAATGTTTTATTTGGTGCTTTAATGGGATGAGACCAAAAATAATTTGCAAGACTTTCAAGTGCACTGTACTTATTCTTTCTTTTATCTCTAACTCATTGGTAATTTAGTTGTTATCCGCTAATTTAATTATGTACATATATCTTTGTGGGTGAAGCATAAATAAAGGCATGAAACCTTCTTTACCACAAGTGGAAAATTATTTGTTCACTTATAAGCTAACTAATTGGCCTACAACTCATTGTTAGATAACACAATAAGTATTCTTGTGAGTTGTAGGACAAAAATAAATAAATAAAAGGTTTAGAATGAATCACCCACATCTTCTGGTTTTCAAGGCTACGGTGAATAATAAAAACAATTATACTGAAATGCTATGCTAGGTTTTGAATACTCAATTAACTTATTTTCAGTCTTCAAAGAAAAAAATATCCCCCTTCAGAGATATTTTTAACAGGCTATTAATTTTAACATTTACATTGTAGCTCTTATTCTTTGGTTGTACAAGAATGAAAGCACCACAAAAAAATTAGGCTTTTCTAATATCATTACAAAATCACACAGTCATGAAGCTGCAAGGAGCCATCAAGTGCAACCCCCTGTCCAATGCAGGAATACACATTAAAGCATCTGCTTGAACACCTGCCTGGGTAACTAGTTTCACTGTCAAACTGCTCTTACTGTTAGGAAGTTTTTATAACATTTAGCCAGAACC